CTTGGTTTCTCTTTCCTCTCTGGTCTTCTGACTTCAGTGGCTAAGTGTCCCAATGACTAGTATATCTTCAGGCCCAATGCAGTGTTGCCTCTCGGGTTTTTTGAACCAGGGTTCCATAGATCTGGCCTGGCCTCTAGAAGAGACAAAGTTTTTTTCTGAAGTTGTAGACCAGGATATGGAGCCAGGAAGTTGGTGGGTGGGTGTGAAGTCTGGGGTTGTTGGGAGCTCTTAAAGGGGTTTTGTGGGTAGTGGGCAATACCTTACCTGAGGCTTCTAGGACCAGCCTAGCTTTCTGTAAGGCTGCAAGGTCCTAGAATGGAACTCAGGGGAGAGGATGCTGTCTGGGGTTATTGGGTAAGTTTTAAGGAACTTTAAATTTAAGAAGTTATTTCATAGAAGTGTTAAGAAATTTAAAAATTGTGAGCTCTATTATAAAACTATAGTGGGGTTTTCCTGTCCTGACTGCCTTGTCCCAAATAAACACTCAGAAACTTAATATTAATTATAACTGCTCTGCCGGTAGCTCAGGATTGTTTCTACCTAACTCTTTGTGGGAAGAGTGGCATTTTATACATAATTTATTCAAACACATAATTAAATACATAACAGTCAGCTTCTTTATTAAACCAATCATAGTAAAATATATTCACACAGTGTACAGAAAGATTATCTCACAGCATTAAACAAAAATTATTTTCATGATTTTTTAAAATTTTATTTTATGTGTATAGGTGTTTTGCTTGCATGTATGCATGTATGTCTGTGACCCACTTGTGTGCCTGGTACCCACAGAGACCAGAAGAGGGCATTGGGTTCCCTGGAACTGGAGTTACAGATAGTTGTGAGCCATCATGTAGATACTTCAAATGGAACTTGAGTTCTCTGCAAGAGTAGCCAGTGCTCTTAACTCTGAGCCATCTCTCCAACCCCTAAAATGAACATTAACAGTTATGAAATTTTAGGTATAAATTCAAAATAAATATACTTGGAAAAATGATTCATAACCACAGTTTGATAGCACAAGTGCAGTCATTTAACTTATGCTTTCCCACTCAGGAAGCTACAGGTTGTCCCATTAATATGGCCATTGGTTTTCATTTCCATCCATTGTTTGGCAATCCAGTGTTTGCACTGTCAATGGAGTGACCACATAAAGACCAGCATGTGTATTCCAGAGAAAGTGGAATGTCAGCAGCTGGCAAAACAAAATGACAGCTTCATGTGGACAGAGCCAAGATTCAATATAATGTACTGTAACAAGGTGGAAAATTTGACTTGTGAAAAGGAACAAATACTATAGTCAATAAGAGGTGCTTTGCTTTGCTTGTTTTTGATGAAAAGAAATGCTATCTTCATAGTCACAACTCAACTATCTTTTGAGAAATCAAATAATTATCTGCATTACAGAAGATATGCTGCAGCAGTCTTATCTTCCATGGTTGGCTTCTTATGAGAAAACTAGAACCTTAAAATGATACTGAATTTCACTACATATTCAAACAAGGAATGTTAAAATAAGTCTTTAATTGCTGACGTTAGTCTGGATGGTATGAAGTTAGACATCAGTGTCTTCCAATTTGGCTTCTTGTTTTGATTTTGTTTTCCTAAATGTCTGAGTTTTTAAAACTTGAGCATGTTTTCTTTAGCATGTTGTGGAAAACCTTGGAGTACTTGACGCTTTTGTTCAGTGATCTCCATGGCCTACAGCTGACCAAAGGGCACTGAATTCACCCTGTACTCCATGCCTTGGTCGAAAGACCATTCAAGTAGTCTGTCCCTGTGGAGGACAAATAGATGGAGTGATCCTAAAGTGTGTGTCTGCCTTGTGTCACCTTAGTGACTTTTTTATTTTCTTAATTCTTCCCCAGCTTTTCCAGTGGTTACACAGAATCTAAATGTGTTTAAACTCAGGGATAAAAGGCTGCCTTCAGACATGGTGAACCTATAATTTTGATTTTTTTTTTTTGGCTCCCCGTCGGGGAATCGAACCCCGGTCTCCTGCGTGTATAATTTTGATTAATTGTTGTTTTATTTGTCTGTTTGGTTTGGGAGACAGAGTCTCTGTGTATCTCAGGCTGACCTCAAACCTACTCCAGAAAAGAACCTTGAACTCCATATCCGAGAACTGGGCGCCACTGTTCCTGGTGGTCAGGGTTTGGATCAGATGTTTTGTGATTTTGGCTTCTTATTCAAAGATCTGAGATAAAAGCCCACATAGATCTTTAAAAGTAGCAAGGCAACTTTATTCAAATCAAAGCAGTAGTAGATATTAGAAATGAATATATGGTCAAGATTGACCGCAGGCCACATGAGCAAAGGTCTCAACAGGTTCAGTTACATTTTGGGACTTTCTTTTATGGAGTTTACAACAAGCTGGGCTGTTAAAACGTTTGGATGGGTCTCTGTTTTACTGACAGATTGTTATACAAATCTTTTCTCTACTATGCATATCCCTTCCTATAAGGCATCTAATTGTAATCATATACATGCTCAATTATGCATAGGCATAAGATTACAAGTAGAGAGTTCTTCCTAAAAGGCCACTTTAGGGTATAGTTTGCCTTATTGTACATACACCCAACACTAACTCAAGAAAGAAGGACTTCCCACTTTCTGTGACTGGACACAATGAAAATACTGATGAACAAGACCTGTGTAAGTTCGATGCTTGTTAAAGAAAAAAAGAAACTCTTTCCATTGTTAAGAAGGGATCGGTATATACCTCCATAGAGATTGGGGTCCTCAGCTATTAATAGGTTGCTAGGTACATTGTTCAGAGTGAGAGAGGCTTCCATAATACATGCATATGAAAGTCTCAGAATGACGAAGTACATTGTTAGAAGAGGGGATGTGCAAATATCCCCAACCAGGTAGAGTCCTAGGTTAAAAAGCTATTCCCTATGCTTGTCTGACTCATCAGCATGCCAGATAAACATGGGTTGCAGTTTGGATTTGGAGTTTTATGCAGCTAGATCAGCACTCCACTAACTGAGCCAAACCCTCAGCCCTGAATTAAGTCAACTTCTGGATCTCATCACAGTCTGCCTGGAGGCCAGTTTGCATTTTTTTTAATCAAAATAGTTGTTACATTTTCATCACTATTACCAAAAAAACAACTCAAGAGGAAAAAGTTGTTTTGCCCATGGCTTCAGACATTTCTGTCCATCTTGTCAGGGAGGGTAGAATGGAGCCAAGCCACTCAGATCATGGCTGACTAAAAACAGAGAAAGAATTGCCTACATTACCTGGTTTCCCCATTTCCACCTTTTACTCCATAGCTCTCCTTGCCTCCAGTCTATAGAATGGCGCCACACACATTCAAGATAGGTCTTACAGCTCAATTATGCCTCTCTGGAGATGCCTTCTCAGATTTACCCAGAACTGCATTTCCGTCTACAAGCAGGTTTGGGTATATTGCTCTGTGGGTAGTGTTTTGCGTGCACACACAGAACCTGAGTTTAGATCCTTGACACCCATGTGAAAAGCTGAACATGGCAGTGTGCATCTGTAATCACAGCTCTGGAAAACTGAGACAGGAGGGTCCTGGGACTTTTTGGGCAGCCAATTTAGCCAATCAGTAAGTTCCAGGTTCAGTGAGAGACCCTATCTCAAAAATACAAGGTGGATAGTGATAAAGACACCCAGCATCAACCTTTAAACTCTACACACAAACACGCCCACATACACACATGCATGCACATACGTATGTAACAAACAAATAATAATCTCATATGCACTTCTAAATCCAGTCAAAATGATGAGTTTAACCCATGAAGTGGGTAAAGGGCTTCCTGACAAGTCTCACCTCCTGAGTTCCGTCCCTGGGATCACATGTCAGAAAGAGAGAGACAACATCCACAGATTGTCCTCTGATCACCACATAAGCCAGAGGCCCATGTTTGCCTCCCCACACAAAAACATGCTAGTTAAACTGTAACAAAAATAATTAAAAATAAATTAGCCATCAAAATCCAGGGCTGAATTAATCTGACGCTGTCATTTCTCTGCACACTCCCATACACATCCTGCACATATTCCCTTAGCACATGTGAGTTTGAGGAGGCTCACATTGGTGGGTGACTGACTTGTGTCATCAAGATGCTATTCCAAACTTATCAGTCTGAGTGCTGGTCCTTAGCTGCCCACCAAACACCAATACCCCCCACTTCCTGAGTTTGCCCCATCTTCACCTCAGCTTTGATTTTTGGTTACCTGGGAGAGCTCTTTCTCTTTAGGATGCTAGACTGCTCAACTCTCTCTAATTCCTTCTCTGACACAGCCAGTTCTACCAAGAAGGGTAATGGACCCCTACGTGAAAAATACAGCAGTAGTATTTGAGTAGGAACTTTGCTGTCTACTGCATAGAAATATGAGTTCATTGACCAAGATGTGTGTGTGTGCGTGTGTGTGTGTCTGTGTGTGTGTCTGTGTATGTGCATGTGTGTGTGTGTCTGTGTATGTGCATGTGTGTGTGTCTGTGTGTGTGTGCATGTGTGTGTGTCTGTGTGTGTGCATGTGTATGTGCGTGTGTGTGTCTGTGTGTGTGCATGTGTGTGTGTCTGTGTGTGCATGTGTGTGTGTCTGTGTGCATGCATGTGTGTGTCTGTGTGTGCATGTGTGTCTCTCTGTGTGTGCATGTGTGTGCATGTGTGTGTCTGTGCGTGCATGTGTGTGCATGTGTGTGTGCATGTGTCTGTGTGCATGTGTGTGTCTGTGTGTGTGCATGTGTGTGTGTGTGCGTGTGCATGTATGTGTGTGTGTCTGTGTGTGTAGTTCTAGGGATGGAACTGGAACCACATATGAACTAGCTAAGTATTCTGCCAGTGAAGTACATTTCCAGCCCAGCCAAAAGTTCTATACACAGTTCATATTTGTATATTGGTGAATTCAGGTGGGTATGAGGACATGCCCATTAGAATTCATTGACCTGTCTCTCCTCTGGAACCATGTGGCACACACTCTCCCTTTTTATCCTATTCCTCCCTCTCCTTCTCTTTCAGACAAGGTCTCTCACTTGCCTGGACAGTAAGCCCCAAAGATTCACCTGTTTCCTTCTCCCCATCACAGGGTTCCGAGCTGATGCTACCAAACCCTGCATTTTTAAAATGGATTCTGGGAATGGAACTCCATTCCCGGGACTTGCAAGGCAAGCACTTAAGCAACCAACTATCTCCCAAGATCCTGTGCCAATTGTCTCACTTCCAAAAAAAAAAAAACTGCTGGCCCGTCTACAGAAAAGTTTAGCAATGAAAACTTACAGTTTTCAAGTACTTTTTTTTAAGCTTATGACTTTGTTGAAAAATACCTTCCTGCTCCTGCTTCACTGTTTTAAAGAGTATAATGCTGAGTGGGGTGAAGAGATGGGTTAAGTAGTTAAGAGCACTCTCTGCTCTTCCAGATGACCTGGATTCAATTCCCACTACCCACATGGTGACTCACAATCATCTTTAACTCCAGTTCCAGGGGATCTGATGCCTTATTCTGACTTCTGTGAACAGCAGGCACACAGGTGGCATACATACAAGCGAAGCACTCATGTACATAAAATAATCTTTTTAAAGTTTATAAAAGTATAATGGTCAAGTTTGACCTAGCACTATAGCTGTCATGGCCCAATTGCGCGTGTGTTACGTGCATAGCAAATTTTAGGGATTAGATGAAGCAGTGAAGACCTCTGGGCTACAGTTGGCAAATTCAAGTCTCTATTTTCTTTCCAAACAAAGATAGATAAGCAGACAGAAAGGAAAACTATCTTCATGAAGTAATGTGATATTTTGTCTTTACTGTGGTTTCTTCTCTTCACAGGTTACATTTCTACTACCTCACATGGTGCCTGAAGAAGTGCTTTTAAAGTTACAGATGCTTAAGGTATGAAAATGACCACTATTGTTAACCTCATTATTGCTTATGGATCCCGGCTATTCCTAGGAAGTAAAGTCAGTCATTTACAGGAAATAGGAGTGTGTGGTTCTAAAGCCTTCTGACCTCCAGGAATTTGCAAGGCAGTCTCATTATTCGCTCAAGGGACTCTCTCAGCATTTCTTTCTGTCGGTTGTCATCAGGTGTCACTTACTACCTATCAGAAATGGCCTTTCCTCACTTAGGAGGAAGGGGTGGTGCCGTCCATGTCCTTAACCTTATGCTGGGTTCCTGTGCTTTCTGTTGAAAGGATGAAGACAAAAGAGTTATGCAGGAGGAAATACAAGCATTAAAATCTACACTGGAGAATGAAAAGAAGAAAATAGAAAGGTACTGGGCTTAATGGTTCCCATGTTGTCTGTCTGCAGCTGCGACACTATTTAACCACATGCAAATGTGTTCCAGGATTCGAAAGGACACTGATCGGATCAACAAAAACTGGGAGAGGAAATTTCTCATCCTCAGGAACAGGTAGAGTGTACCCAGTGTAGGTGTAGGTGTGCAGACAAATTCCATTTGGAGAAACACAGTAGAAAGAGAACTCTCGTGTTTTTCTCTATATATTAACTAACGTTAAATGACCTCACATACTTGTAATAAGAACTGCAACATGGTCTAAAATAGAAAAGTATTCAGAGTCACTTAAGAGAAATTGGAATTCTGGACTCCTGTTCTCTGGTTCACCGTTTCCGACCTAGCTGAGCATCTTCCTCTACAGCAGTTTCATGTAATGGTGAAAGAGGGTCTGCACCACCTTCACAATCGCCTCTTGTGCCAGGCCCTTTCCCCAATTCCCTAATCTCTTGCCCACACTTTGCTCTCACAGCCATTTGATTTCTTCTCCCTGGTTTATGCTTGCTTTTTTCTACAATGGTGAAAGTGGGACTGTGGATCTGTGATCCCAGCACTTGGGAGGATGGAGCGGGAGGATTACTAAGAGTATGAGGCTAACCTTGGCTACGTCGGAAGTTCAGAGACAGCCTGGACTACATAAGTAAAATACAGTCCAAGAAAACCTCAACATGAAAGGCCAGAAGGAAGGTCAGGAGGAAAGAGTAAGGAGGAAGGGAAGAAGAAGCTGCAACCCTGAGTGACAAAATGCTTGTATTGAATATAAAGGCTACAACAAAGAAAACGCTGCTTTTCTCCTTTGTCCTATGTCATGTGAACATTTAAAATGCATTTCCTGACCACTTGTTTCCACCCCACATTTTCTTAGTCATCACATACTGGAAGTTTCTTTGCAAGAAACTTAATAGTGAAGGGCAGTGATGAACGGATGAGCTTACAGCTCATGCTTGACATGAATACACTGCATTTGCTATGCAGGGCAATAATACACTAAATTAGCTCCCATGTCATAAGCACGATACCCATCGTGTATTGAAAAGCCTACACCCGATGCTGAAATAGTTAGGACTGGCTAGCAACCGAGATCTCATGTGATACCAGAAATGATCCCAGAGGGGGAGCCCAAGTCCCCTGCTTAGGGGAAAATGTCTTTCTTGTTTGGTTTCTCATACCTGCTGGTAATGCTTATGCTCCATGAAGTGTGTCAGTTTTAATTTTGGCTGTCTGAATCAAGGTCTCACTCTAAAGCCCAGGCAGGTCTTGAACTCAAAGCAGTCCTCTTGCCAGGACCCATGTGGTGGAAGAAGAGAAATGACTCCCGTTGTTGTCTTCTGGCTTCCACAAGCACTCTGTGGCATGTTCACATCCGCACACACAAACACACAAGCACTCTGTGGCATGTGCCCATCCACACACACAAACACACAAGCACTCTGTGGCATGTTCACATCCGCACACACAAACACACAAGCACTCTGTGGCATGTGCCCATCCACACACACAAACACACAAGCACTCTGTGGCATGTTCACATCCACACACACAAACACACAAGCACTCTGTGGCATGTGCCCATCCGCACACACAAACACACAAGCACTCTGTGGCATGTGCCCATAATCACACACAAACACACAAGCACTCTGTGGCATGTGCCCATCCACACACACAAACACACAAGCACTCTGTGGCATGTTCACATCCGCACACACAAACACACAAGCACTCTGTGGCATGTGCCCATCCACACACACAAACACACAAGCACTCTGTGGCATGTTCACATCCGCACACACAAACACACAAGCACTCTGTGGCATGTTCACATCCACACACACAAACACACAAGCACTCTGTGGCATGTGCCCATAATCACACACAAACACACAAGCACTCTGTGGCATGTTCACATCCACACACACAAACACACAAGCACTCTGTGGCATGTGCCCATCCACACACACAAACACACAAGCACTTTGTGGCATGTTCACATCCGCATACACAAACACACAAGCACTCTGTGGCATGTTCACATCCGCACACACAAACACAGGGGAGGTAAAAAAGCAAGAAATGATACCGTAGTTGAAATATATGGAAAAATGGAGTGAGCAGTACATCGCTACCAGGTGTGAGAGCGGGAAGCAGAGCACACCTACACACAGGTGTGCACACTGTACACATTACAAAAAGGAAATGGAAAAGAAATGGGCACTTTTGATGTTGAGGAATATTCAGTCCACGATGACCACTTTTCGGCACCCAAATATGTATGTCTGTCCTGCATGCAAAAATGCCATCCCATTGGAGGGTCAGCTCAAGTCTAAACCCTTTCTAAGACTCATATCTCAAAGTCTTAATTCTCCTAATCTCAATTGAGTATCAGTGAAGTTCTGGCTATAAATTCATTCATTCTGGGCTCCCAAAGCTGTGACCAAGTCCGTTTGCTCCCAAGTGCAAAGTAGGGTGGGCATTGTATTGACATAGCTGTCAATAATACTTACAAATATTCATGTTCAAAAAGGGGGGATATGGGAAGATATCTAAAAAGCCATTAGCTATTTTTGTTTTTGTTGTTTTATTTTGCTTTGTTTTTGGTGCTGGGGATAAAACCCAGGGCCTTGCCCATGCTAGGCAATTGCTCTATCACTGAGATACTGCCCCCATTTTGCTGTGATGTTTTTGTTCACTTACAATCACTAGAAAAAAAACCAAACATGTCCAGCCATACTCCCAACTCATCTTTCTCTAACAATGAATCTCCTCATTTTAACACCATCCACAATGAGAAGAAGCTAAACATTTCCTAAAAGATCAGTTGTGGTTCTTATTACTTCTGGTGTTTAACTTCTCCAATCTTAATCAGCGAGAGCCTTCCAAAGATAAAGAATGCACTGTTTTTACCTAATCTTTGAGGATTCCCTTGATTTTTAGTAGAATAACATATCTTAGAGTCCCCTTGCATATTTTTTAACTTAGATCTAGAAACAGCTATCTCAAAAATACCCTTATTCATTTCAGAACGTACAGTCGGCAGGGATCGTCATTGCTGTTACTTCTGTACGTTTTTAGACCTAGGAAATAGTTATTCGTAAGGAAGAAGAAATAAGCTGAAATTAATATTTTTGTATTTTTACTTGGCAGTATTTAAACTTTTTGCATTGTGATCCCAAGTGTTGGTCTTGTCCTAGGATGTTTATACATCTTCTTCTATCGCTTCTTTTGATGCAGTTTTCACGTCCTAAAGGATGAGATGTTCACCAGACACACACTTTTCCGTCAGTTCGCAATGATTGCTGACACCTCCTTCAACTACGTTGTAAGTGCTTTGAATGCATGTGCCTGTGTCTACGAACGACACGTTTATTGAACTCTTATCACATTCTAGGCTGCAGTGATAACACAGAGCAGACACTCTGCCAGCTACTGAGAACAAAGTGCAGGGCCCCAAAGAGCTCAGTAGGAAGTGCAGATGTGTAAATAAGGCTGTCACCATGCAGCGTGGCGGCTAAGCTCTGCTAGAAGTCTGCAGATTTCAGAGGGTGCGATACTCATTCTGCATAGTAGTGCCTGCTCATTTGTTCATCTTTGACCACAGATACGATGCCTGGAAGAATCAAAGCTCAAGTTCAAGTCTCCAGTCTCTTCCAAAGGGAAGGAGTAAGCACCAACTCATTCATTCTCAGATTAGAAACTGTTGTTACCAGATTCGCATCGCTATGACAAAATACCTAAGACCTTTGAAGCAAAGTGGTTCACTTAGCTCACAGGAGGAGCTTCAAAGTCCATATAACATCATACAGGCTGGCAGCAAGGGCTGCACCATTGCAAGACAAACAGCAATAGCAGAAGAGTCTGTGGGACAAGGTGGTCACATCCTGAGCCAGGATGCAGAGAGAACAAGAGAATCCAGGCTTGCTCCACGGAGCCACCATCTGGTGAAAATTCAAGCGTTATACAAGAGCAACCTTCTGAGAGCCCACCCCAAAGTGACCTAAGGACTCCCACAAGGCACTGCCTCTTGAAGGCTCCATCACGTATTAGTGCCATGTTGGATATCAAGTTTTCAATATGTAAATTTGGTGGCACAATATTTCATATTCAGACCAAAGCACAGCAGGCCTGTAGACAAGCTCAGCTATGAAATAGACTATTATTTACCTGTTTTGACAAGAGAGTACTGCTTATGAAAGGGAAGGCTGGCTGGTCTAGAAGAAGATCTGGTAAATTCCACCTGACAAGACAGTCGGCATAATAGCAACCCTTTAAGCTTCTGCCGCCTGGCTGCTTTCCTTGGATCAGTCAGGCTTTTTTGTTTAGTTTTGTTTTGTTTTGTGAACGGAGCATAAGAAACAGGCTGTAGGATATTGCTTTGGTCTAAAATAAGACCAAAGAGGCTTATGGTCTAAAATAATTTTCTTTCCAGTTCTTTTCAACAATTTTCATTTTTAGACCATTTTCTAGGTTTAAGTTCAGAGGTGTTCTAAAGTATCCTGTCAAGACAGTATTTTTTAACTAGATCTATTTAGAAACCTGAGGATTTTAAGAATTGTCTCCTGAGTCAGGTAGGAGTGGCACACACCTTTAATCCCAGCATTCAGTAGGCAGAAGGAGGCAGATCTCTGTAAATTGGCAAACAGCCTGGTCTACAGAGTGAGTTCCAGTACAGCCAGGGCTACACAGAGAAACCCTATCTTGGCAAACCAAAGAGAAAGAAAGAAAGAAAGAAAGAAAGAAAGAAAGAAAGAAAGAGAAAGAAGAAAGGAAGAAGAAAGAAGGAAGGAAGGAAGAAAGTGAAGGAAGGAAAGAGGGAGGGAAGGAGGGAGGGAGGGAAGGAATGAGGGAGGGAGAGAAGGAGGGAGGGAGGGAGGGAAGAAAAAGAAGGAAAGAATTGTCTCCTGAGCATCCCAAACTGGTCTACACAAGAGAACAGGCACAGAATCCTCCTTTCTTCCTTCCCCCCCTTTTCCTGTAGTTTATAAATTCACTAGGCATTCTCCTCATCTTAGATGTGTAACCAGCTGGGCAAACAAAAGAGAAAGTTCCACAAGAAGGCTATGTCACTCAATCAGACATTTCTAGTACTTTTCTAGGGTAATTAGAATCAATGTATCTATTCCTTCAAAAGGTACCACTAATACTTTTATTTGTTGCACTGTATTTCTTAAGTCTCCTTAGCCCAAGTTGAGCATACCTGCTGCAAATAAATGAATAAGGATTTAACTTTTAATGCTATGTCCTATGGCAAGCTAGCGGATATAGCTGTCTGGAAAAGCTTCAGGCCTGTTACAGGTTTGCCTTATATGCATGATGCATATGACTCCATCTTCTCCCTCAGCCCTGTATGTACATCTACTTTAAATCACTCCGGAGTCATCGTGAGGCAGCGGGGTCTTGTTAGTCACACACTTTAAGTGGATTCTGAGTTGTGTCCTCTACCTCTGGGTTAAAAGAGCCTTTGACCACTCTTAGATGTATTTGTTAAGTTTGGCAAATGTCCTTAAAGCAAAGTGAAGCCATAGGATGGGAGACGTGGTGCCCACCTTTTCTTACTCTTACATCTGGCAGCATTCTTGATTACATTTTATTTTTATTTTTTAAATTTTATGTGTATAAGTGTTTTGTCTGCTTGTGTGTAGATGTACCATAAATGTGCCGAGTGCCCAAGAAGGCAGCTGAGTTCCCTGAACTGCAGTTCACTGGCTGTAAACTGCCACGTGAGTGCTGGGAACCGAACCCTGTTCTCTGAAAGAGCATCTAGTGTTCTTACCCACTGAGCCATCTCACCAGCTCCTTGCTTATATTTCCACTGGTATAACAACTTTGAGGAGTATACGAAATGAAAGTTTTGCCGGGCTGTGGTGGCGCACGCCTTTAATCCCAGCACTAGGGAGGCAGAGGCAGGCGGATCTCTGTGAGTTTGAGGCCAGCCTGGTCTACAAGAGCTAGTTCCAGGACAGGAACCAAAAAGCTACAGAGAAACGCTGTCTCAAAAATTAAAAAAAAAAGAAAGAAAGAAAGAAAGAAAGAAAGAAAAGAAAGAAAGGAGTTTTTTGGGGGTTTAAATTTTCCCAAAGTTTAAATTTGGGTTTTAGTAGTTGAAATTTTTCCACATGGTATCCACAATTGTCTTCACAGTCTGTTCATTTTCTGTGTCTCTGCCTGTTTCCTAAGGCCATGTGCTCTTGTACACGCGTTTTCTGTGCCACCCCCTGCTGTGGTGTGCTCCACCGTACACCCAGCAGAGTTAGCCTCTTCTCACAAGTGTTTTTCACTCACCTGATGTAGGTCAATTGGTTTTTCCCCATCAATCATTTAACCCCACACCCCTTTGTGGGATTAGGTTTTAGGGATAGGAGAATGCACATATATGAATATATAAATAAAAATACTCAACTCACCAAGAGAGAATAAGGAAATAGTAAGAGGGGAAAAACGTACATTCTAAGCAATGCACAGGGCCCCAGACTGTTTCTGGTGAGCATGCATAATGCACCTTGAACTGCGTGGCCTGCACGTCTCTCGTCATGACTTAGTAGTAAATGGGTAACGGTGATGCATGCTTCTGCTCAGGACTTCTAGAAGAAAGTCCCTCCCTTATTTGCTTTATCTCTTGCTTTTTTTTTTTTTTTTTTTTTTTTTTTTGCCAGTCCATTCTTAGCAATGTGGGCACACTGCTGAAGCTTTCAACAGCTATTTGGGATTGGAAGTAACCTTATAACTTATGACCTGTTCCTGTGTGATGCCCTTCCATATCTGAAGGACCACACAGAGGAACCAAGGTCCTTGGATTCCCAATAACTGTATTAGTTTTAGAAAGCCTTAGTATTTGTGTGTGATATTTTGCAATTCTCCATGGACTTTAATTCTCTATAGATTACTTGTACTACCTAATGCAATATATTATGTAAATGGCTGATATACTGTATTGCTTAGGGAATAATGGCAAGGAAAAGATGTCTATACATGTTAAATACAAAAATAATTTAGAGTTTTTTAAGTGTTTTTCTCCACTGCAGCTTGAAGCTGCAAACACAGGACTACGCCCATGGAGAGCCAGCTTGTAGAAAATCCCAAGTTGAAGTGATAAGCAAATGAAAGTAGAGTTGGAAGAGACATTGAGGAGAATATTTTTCTCGGATTGTCTCTCAAAACAGCCTCAGTTAAGCAGCGAATCTTTGCTACTACTTTGATGATGACTCTGATGCTTTTGACTGGAGTTGGGGCAACTCTTTATTACCCAAGCAATTCTCAAATGTCTGCTTTAAACAGCCCTCCTACATTAGCCACTCGAGTGGCTGAGACTCTAGATGGATACCACCGCTAGTTTAAAGAAAAGGATCTCTCCATCTGTGTGTGAGTCAATAAGTTAGAAGCAGGGTTTCCATGTCACAGTTGAAGAGATGAAGGTGTTGTGGCAATCCTTGGAAGTCAACTTGACTACATCTGGAATTAACTGGAAGTCAAGTAGCCTGGTACACCTGCGAGAGGTTTCTGACTGAATCATCGAAGTGGGTAAACCTACCCTAAGTCTGGATCTTCTGAGGCAGAAAGATTACATTAAATTTATACCACACCTTCTGGTGGCAGCCTCTGTAAAGGACATGGAAGAAAGGGAAGCTTGCTGTGTGCCTGCTTGCTGTCAATCTTGCTAGCAAGGCCATTTTGTCTCTTCTTTGAGACTCTAGCATATACGGAAAACCATCTGATACATCCAACCCCTTGGACTGAACAGCTACTGAATTATTGAACTTTTCATAGGGAGAAATCCATTGTTTGAATAGTCAGATTATAGTCTGCAAGTCACTTTAATAAATCTAAATAAATTTTATATACTTAGATTCATTATATCTGTTCGGCTTCTCTAGAGAAGCCTACCTAATACAAAGGGCAACTGCATCCCTTTGCTGTGACTGTGATTTCATCTTAACGGTGGTACCTGCTGTTTGTGTCTTTCAGAAAGTTAAGCCTGTGTTTGTGAACACAATGAACTTGACAGAATCATCCTCTGCTGCAAACGCTTTGCAGACCACCATGGTAGGACAATTGTTTTCCCCTATTAAATATTTAATTGGTTGATATTATTGAAGCTCAGTAATAAAACTTTTTGGTTAACATGCAGATGGAACCCAACTTTGTGGACATACCCAGTGACCAGGTGACCTTTAAACGCGTGCCAAAAGGTAAGAGTCTAGGGACTGGGAGTAGAGATGTTTTCTATATGCCAACTTAGCACATCTGAGGCCCTGGCATTCATCACAGAACCAAAGGAAACCAGGTAAGACTCCTTATTGTCAGGGAAAGAGGTTCACATGGAGAATGAGTACACAAGACAGGTTACCTTCGTGTCTCTTCCTCTTCTGAGCCTCTATCTGTAGTCCAGGCTGGCCTCCAGCCTCACAGAAATCCTCCCTCTTTTTGCTTTTCTTGTTTAGCTTACAGTATTTGGTGCCATGGATGAAACTGGGACTTTGCAACCAGTTTGTAAGACTTGTGCCTTTCTGCATTCTGACTGCTGCTAGCTGAAAATGAATTTTGTCTTTCTTCATACTCAAACTATCTCAGTTAAAATCTCATTCCTTTTAGCTAGACTGCAAAAAGAAAAAAAATCCCAAACCCCAAGCCCTAAATTTCTAGTTAAATGTCTGTTTATGCAATGCAATAATTTCCAGGAAAACTAAGACTGCTTCCTAAAACATTTCGCTTTGATCAGTCCCTGAAGAGCTTCAAATCGGAAGTGTTTTACACTAAAATTTATTTTGTCTATTCACATCTGTAAAAATGTTCTCTGATCTTGGAAACCAAAATAAATGTATGTAAGAGTTTCAGAGTGAGGGCAGATATACACACCGAGAGAAGCTGTGGGCTAGGGTGCATCTCAGCGACAAGAGTGCTTCCTTAGTGAATATGAGACCCCAGGTTCAGGCTCCAGGATTGGGGGAAAGAATCCATTATTTAAAGTTTATAAATTTATAGAGCACAATGAGCAAGTAGAATTAACAAAATATAGCATTGTTATTTTGAATTATGAGCATTGACTGTGACTGATCACTGAGTGAGCGATTCTTTCGGCATATCTGGAAATGTTTAAAAGTAAACTGGTTAATAAAACTTTCTGTGTGTGGGGGGGGGGGGGGGGTGCGTGTGATAAGAGCTCAGATCCCGGCCTCTGCAGAATGTGTGAAGAGTCTCTTTTCCTGCGCGTCTGTGCACTGGGAAAGCTTCCTGTGGATGTATGCGCCGCTGATATCGGGTCAGTGGTTGTCTTCCTAGGGACAAAGGAATCTTTGAGCAACCCCAGTGATGGACGTTTCCCCAGGACTGACAGTATACTACAGTCGTGCTCAGACCGGACTCCAGAGTTTAGGAAACAGCAATGTTTAAAGCTGTCAGTATTTAAATAATGAATTATATCTGTTAAACTGCAAATCCCAGCTCATATGGTAAGTTATTTCTAAAGTATCTAAATGTACTATGATTTATCATATCCACACAAAAAATATAAGTTCATAAATTTAGAGTTTGTTGTTGACCTGAAACTTGAATTAGGAAACTATGACCTCAGCAGTGCGTTCCCAGACGATCTGGGGGAGGACACTGCAGCCACAGCTGATTTTCTGGGGTAAAGATATTGCTTAGTAAAGACCCTTTGCCTTACCTTCTCAAAGTTCTGGGTCTCTCTCTCTCTCTCTCTCTCTCTCTCTCTCTCTCTCCACACACACACACACACACACACACACACACACACCACACACTCCTATATAATTTTCAATTGACTTTCCAGAGACAAGAAAATCCAGTTAAAAATATTAATAGCACAAATAACTACATGGTAAAGCATCCCCGGCTGAGACAAACACTACCAATGCCTTCCTCGTCCTGGGAAATACAAAATGCTGCAGAATCATCTCTACCAAGTCCTCTAGAGTCATCATTTCACTTTTTATCATAGAAATCAGACTTAATATAAATACTTTATGTAACCATGAGTTTTCATAAAGCTGGTGATTTTGGCTGTCACCAAAATAGATAGATGGCCAACCCTTGATGTACTCATGTGAGCCGTCTCTTAAGTAAAGAATATTAATAAGGGGAACCCTACTTCTTGGGGTACTAGTGAGAATTAGAGTTGAAACAAGACACAGAAGGAAGACATTTGGTGATACAGCAGCAGAGTCTGCCTGCCTTAAAGGCTGGCAGACTTCGGCTCCAATCTCAATTCCTTCCTCAATCCCTAAGCAGCTTCCTCTGGCTTTCCTCTGTGTGAGAGCAGAGGCGACCCCACCCTGTCACTCATTAAGAGGATTAAATAAAATAATCTCCTAGAAGACATATGGAGCTAGTCCTGCCATTTGCTTCTCTTCAACAGCCATTTCTAGTGCAACCCCAAACTCAAGTCTGGCAGATGTATATTTTAGCTTACCATGTGAAATAAATGAGGCTCTAAGCAGTAGGTGCATACATTAAAATAATTCCACCTTTGTTTCTTTAATAACTAGTTTTCACCAGGTATGAGTAAAACTGGTTTTATCAAAGTAAACTAAGTAAAACCGAGGTTAGTGCATACAAGGTTTAAGGAAAGTAATTAAAATAATAACATATAATCAAAACAATGTGATATCAGGAAGGACCAGCCCAACCAGGCTGCAATTGACTTCTTTGTTATGAGTCCTGAGAGGCCTAAAGAGAGCACAGGGCTTCATTCATGCAATGGCCAGGTTTAAGAGATTAAAAATATCTAATAGAAAGGAATAGAAAAAAAAGGCCCAATACTATCTGCAAAATCTCAAAGCAGTTTTTTACACGGTCGTAATCATCCCAAGAGCGCACAAGGAAGATTATTAATTTGTTTGCTGCTTCCCTGTGATAAAATGTGAGATGTGAGCCTCCCATTGTGTGGCCCACGCTGCCCCCGGTCTTATGTACTCAAGCAGACCTTTCTCACAGCCCAGTAATTAGGTGTTATTGACATTGTAATCTCTGGAAATGTTCTTAATGAGCCCCAAAGACACGAATCCCATAGATAAAACCTCAAAGTTACTGGCTGTGTAAGCACCTCATCAGGAAGAGAAGGCTCAAACATCAGTATCTGTGTCAGGGGAAACCCAAACTGAAGCCCGGATTACATTGTATAGTTGATTTTCTGGGATTTCTAGGAAAGGTTACTTAAAAGCTTTTGGAGAGTAGTAAAATGACCATGATATATTTGATTAAAAATTTTAGGATCTATTTCACCCTTTAAAAATTTGGACCTGAGAACACTTTCTTTGAAGTCTTTTGTCCACTGCTTGGCGAGATTAAAACCTGATGCTGTTTAAATACAATTTTTTTAAAGAAATCACACAAGGAGCTGGAAAGTGGCCCAGTGGTTAAAAGCACTGCTGCTCTCCCAGAGGACCTGGGTTCAATTCCCAGCACCACAGGACAGCTCCCAAGTGTTTGTCACTCCAATTCCAGAGGATCTGCTACCCTCACACAGATACACATTCAGGCAAAACACCAGTGCATATAAAATAAAAATAAAACGTTAAAAAAGTAAGGTGTGTGCTAAAAAAAAAAATCATTCAAGAGGTTGGAACTTAGATAAAAGATAAGCGATTTTAAGCTTTTGTAAAATTAAAATCCAACAAGCTAGTGTTAGTTTACATATCATTTCTAGACCCTCAACTACAATTAATTAGAATTTTAAAGATTAGCCGAATTCACACTCAAGTGCATATTTTAAAATATAACTGCATATAGAACAGATACAGAGCATCTTTAGTCTCTAACTAATGACTGTAAATGCTAATATGTGTATAGAGGCTGGGCCTGGCAGACACCTATAATTCCAGCACTTGGGAACAGAGACAAGAGAACCACTGTGAGTTTGAGGTCCAGCCTTGACTACAAAGTTCTAAGCCAGGATGGACTTCAAAGTGAGACCCTGCCTCAAACAGCAGCAAATTTAGATGGGATTAACCCTTGAATTATATTTAACATCAAGACTAATCTGCTCTTTTTGGTATATAGTACAAAGAGGCCGTAAATGCTAACAATGTCATCGCCACTGACTTGTATACTGTCTCCTTTGCAATTCTCGACTATTCAAACACTAAGTCACGTGTCATCTTTGTCTCAGAGATTTGAGCTGATTATCTTTCTTTGAAAATTTTCCTTGTTTTTCATATATTCTGAGAGATCTTTCCTGCTTGAGACCATAAACGTTAGAGCATTAGGCAGTGAACTGAAATCTGAACCATCAGTAATCTTTTAGTTTATCCTTGCAAATGCTGTAAAGGCTGGATTGCATAGAAAAGGGTCCAGGAGCCAGCTGTATTGAAGAAGTTATGATGGAATTAAAAGACTTTCTGAAGAGTTGTCCACAGGCCAAAGAATGTATTGGAAAACACGACGAGTGGGTGGAGGTGCAGCTGACGGTCAGGGCCGTTCCCTAGATCCCCTAGATCCCTCATTAAAGTCACATGACTGCACAAAAAAAAAAAAGGACAAATGAAAAGGAGGAGTAAACTTTTTTTTTTTTTTTGAAAATGCAATGCTCCAAGGGTGGCTCAGGGGTTAAGAGCACTTATTTTCCTTCCAGAGGAACTGGGTTCAGTTCCCAGCACCCATACCAGGGGGCTCACACTGCCAATAACTCCAGTTCTAGGAGATCCAATGCCCTCCGACTTCCAGAGCACACATGTGGTATACATAAGCTAATGTAGGCACAAACACATGCTAATTAAACTGTACTTCATTAATTTGATGTACAGGTTGGTTATAACCATCACTTAAAATTCTTGGGACCAGTATTGTTTTGTATTCATTTAATTTTTAATATGCCATGTACATTGTGGGTACACAATGAAACATATTAGGGATAGAACTCAAGTCTAAACACAAAATTGATTTGTGTTTCCATCTGGTGGAGTGTGCTTGCTTAGTACGCTCAAGGCCCTGAATTTGACCTCCACACTACAAGGAGACAAGAAAATCCATCTGTTTCATGCCTACCTGGTACAGACAGCCTGAATGAACGTTACTTCATGCAACCTGTGAGTTTTGTATATCTCACCAAATTTCATGGTGCAGAACTTTCTAGTTGTGGCATTCCATTTTCACTTCTGAAGCATTTCAAATTCATATTTCATTCTCCTATTGGTGAGAATTTAGAAACCTTCAGCTTTACTGGAGCCCAAACCGTCGCTGGTATTAATACTCAGTATTTCCCACAGAGTGGCCTATAGCAGGCCACTGCTGTTATAACTTGAAACCAAACCCCTGAGCGCTAGAAACTTACTGGATACTGTCAAGTATCCAACTTACTGGATACTGATAAGTCGACACACTAATTTACACACGTGACAGAATTGCCAAGTTTGTATTGACACAAATTTCCACAAATGCTTGGGGTACCATACCTGTTCATTATAGTTGCGTCTCATTTTTGAAGTCAAACATCCTGATAGCTGGCGAGAAGAATAATTTTATGTGCATACTGACTGACCTTTGGGCTCCTTTTCTGTGGATTGCAGTTAACTTTTGTTTGTTTTCCCATTATTGGGCACTTCTCTCCTGTGGTTTCCTGACGTCTTTGGATTCCTAGCATTAGCAGATTAGTAGCCTGGATGATTCACGGTCCATGCACTTTTAAAATTTTGATGCCTTTTGCTATACTAAAGTTGTTTATTTTTAATTTCCACACACACATACTTTTCAAACTTGTAATTTAGAACTTTTCTTAATTCTTTTAAATAAAAAATTGTCAATTCACCAGAATCTCCTAGTTATCCAACACATCCCCTAAAAGTTACCAGTTTTGTTTTCATACTTTAGGCTTTTCAAACACTAGAAATAATTGTCATGGAAATCAGTGTTGTGACTTTGACGACTAAAATTTTGTTCCTATAGAATAGCTAATTGCCATTTATCCTCCCTACTCAGCTCCTTTCCAATGTGTAACACGACCTCTGATGCACACCACATCCCCAAGTACACATGGGCTTCTTCTGGGCTATCTACCCTATGCAACAGATCTTAATTTTTGTATCCACTGATACCATAGCTTAAATAGCTTTTATTCTAAAATAAATCTCGACACTAGGTATAATAATTCTTTCCACCATGTCTGGAAAATTATCCCTAAGACATTCTTAGTTCCTTGTGTGGTCATGTGAATTTTAGGTTCAGCCATTTCAAGTTCCATTAAAAACCACTCTTGGTATGGAAAACATTCATGTTTTTATAATATTGAGTCCTCATTGCTGCGAACATAATTTTGATTGATTTGGAAGCCTCTTTATCATCTTTATCAATGTTATGTAATGTTTTTGGAAAGATCTTGCACACCTTTTGTTAAATTTGTTCCTAAATAATTTTAGATATGTAAACAACTTGATTTTTATGGTTATTTTAACAGTTTCTTATGATGTAAGCTAAAATATTTATTACTGTTACTTTGCATTTTGTGTTTTGATTTTTTTTTTTTTGAGTGGGTCTCTCACTGTGTAGTCCTGGTTCCCTAGAACTTGCCCTGTAGACCAGGCTGGCTTCAAACTCACAGAGATCTGTCTGTGAGTTGGGATGGTGAGATTGGATCTTCCCAAGTGCTGGGGTTAAAGGTGTATACCAACATACCTGGGCCATTTGGTTTGATGTTCATGAAACTAGTTGAAATATAATCTTTCTAATATCATCTCTGAAAAGATATCATTCTTGTGTAGCCTGTAATCATTTATAATTTGAAAGACTTCTCTTGTCCATGTATAGTCTACTTCCTTCTCACTGTCCTGGCTAAGATTCCCCGTATTTTCATAGAGTCCAGGGACCACACCTGTCTTTTCTCTAGTAGAATAGTTTCTGATGTTATCTTTCAATGCAATATTTATGGCACACTATGATAGCTAGTCTTTCTGAAGTCCATAAAGCTATCTTCTTTATGTAAAAACAGAGACTTTTTATAATAAACTGACGACTAATTTTTATCTGGGAACTATGTTCTCTGTCTATTGAGCTTACTGTTATTCTTTCTTTCCTCTGACCTGCTAATGTGGGAAAATGTGAAAGTTTTTTTTGTATGGCGTAATATTTGTAGTTTTTGACTTTTGTATATGTGTGTGTCTTGAATTTTACAGTATGCACTTATAAGATTTTTCTTCTGAGTTTATAGTCTTTAATTTTCCCTGAAACTACCCTTAACCTAGTTTAGATATAAAGGTTATACCAGGCTCCTAGAAAGAACTTGTTTGTTATTCCTTTTTAAAATTCATTAATTTGAATTCATTTTTAAATCCAGTATCTTATTCTGTCGCCATCTTGACCTCAAGCCCTCCTCAGTCAGCCAAGTGCTGGGACTGAAAAGCAGGTGCCTCATTGCCCAACACATGCCTCTTCTTCAGACTTTTGAGGGGGAAAATAATTATTATCTGTTGACTGATGCAATATCAAATTTGTCCGTAGTTTTTGCCTGTTCCTTGTTAAGGTGAGCATGGCAATTTTTTTCTAGATGTATTTTGTCTAGGTTCCAAATACGTTGATAAACTACAGTGTATTCTCCAGTGGTTTTACAACCTCTATGTCCCTTCTTTATTCTATATGCTGACTCATATTTTTACTTTATCCTTTTCCTCTCAATTTTATTAAGGCAAGTTTCTAGTCTGACTCTGAAGTACTCATTTTTGATTTATTGGTGGACCACTATTGCTTAGATTATTTATACACTTTCTATATTATTTCTCTAGCTTGATCGTTGCATTTTTACTGAACTTTAATAAATGTATTTGTGACTCTATAACGTGTTTTAACTATATTCCATACATTTTGACATACAACACTTAATCCTTGGATCTAAGTATTTTATGCTATCTTGGTTTCTTCTTTAATGCGTGGCTTTTTCTGAACACTTTCTCAAAATTGCTTTATCTTTAATGAGTGAAATCTGGTTTTCCTGTCTTTAACTCAAAAAAGTGGTAAGACTTTGATCCTTAGAAATGTGTACATAACTCTTTCCTGAAGAACTTTGTAAGTATTCCATGTGCTTGCAAAAATAATCTGTACATTCTGTTCATTGGAGGTAGAATTCTGAGGCATCCTATTTGGTCATCTTGCTAATTTAGTAATACAGATATTCTCTGCTTTGTACTCTACTCCATAACTAATACCTTGCTTTTGTAAAAGGGGAATATAGAAATACCTCATGTGTCTGAGGACTTGTCTGTTTTTCTAAGTAATTCTGTACATTTTGACTTATTTAAGAATCTATCTAATTAGCCAAATTTATTATTTTTATTGGAGAATTATTGTGTGCACTGTCCCTCTATAACCCTTGTAGTTCTTTGATGTTTTAAATTATATTGTCTCATACAGCTAATAAAACAGTAGTGCTCTTATTAATATTTGCATTTTGGGGGCAGGGAAATGTGTAATTAAGTAAGAGCCCTTGGTATTTTGTTCATTTGAACATGGGTTCAAATCCTCATAACCCAGATGTAAACAGCTGTGCGTGGTCACATGGACTGGTGAGCCTGGAGGAAACATAGATAGGAGGACTGCTGAAGCTGGCTGGCTTCAAGTCTAGCTCCAGGCTCAGTGAGAAATCGTGTCTCAAAATGGAGAGTGATGAGGAAGGACAAATACCATCACGAGTAACCTCTGTGCTTTGTCCCTCATCCCAACTACCCCCACACACACGTACACATGCACTCGCATGAAATTTAGCAACATATAAAAATAAGCTTGTACTGTATCTTTTCAATATTTTTACAATTTATTGAATTATTTTTCTAATGTAAGCAACTTACATTTGAATTTTTCTTATCTCTAATAATTTCTTATGGTGTATATGGATGGATGGATGGATGGATGGATGGATGGATGTCCATGTGCTCATGTGTAGGTGGATATGTACATTTGTGGCTGTGTATATGTATGTGGATTCCAGCAGACAATCTCAGGTATTGTTCCTCGGTGTCTTTAAATAGCCTGGAGTCAGCAAGTAGGCGAGGGTGACTAGCCAGGGAGCTCAGAGATCTCCCTGCCCTACTTCCCCGGCATTACAAGAAAGAACCACCATGTCTGGGATCTGGTCCTTGAGTGCATAAAGCAAGCACTTTACCAACTGAGCTGTCTTCCAAGCCCTCATAACTGCTTTCTAATAGGGAAATATTATGCTTAAAATTGTGATTTTTGATAGACATGTACTTATCTCTATCATCATCTTACTTTTATATTTCCTGGTATTTATATCACTTACTACTGTGCTTTACAATATTTCCTTTGTATTGGTAACATTTTATATATTCTCTCTCTCCCTCTGCTTTTAAAAGCTTGAGGTATCATTTATTTCCTTTAAATATATACATTGGCTTATGTGTATACTGTAATATATGTGCATGTTTAAAGTGTCATTGCTTCAACACTCGGTTTAGTGAGAGTCTAGTGATGGCAGAGTCTATGT